AACATGTTGCTCCTGGCAATGAAAATTGGGAGTTCCTGGTTTTCCCCAGCGCCCGTCCGGCTTCTGCCCAGACCCCCCTGGGGAGTCATGATGCTCTTTTGAGACCACTAGAAACCTATCAATCTTCGCTGTTAGGTCAATTATCCCGGCAAAGCAACCTAACAGCGATGTGTAGGAGCATATCTGGAAGCATTCCCCTTAAGATTCAGGTGAGAATCCAGCTGTAGAATTCTGCTGTTCTCGCAATCGTAGTCGCATTCGCGATGACAGTCGCAGTGCCAACGGCAGTCGCAGTCACAGCCTTAGCCTCAGCCTGCCTCAGCCTCAGCCTCAGCCTGCCTCAGCCTCAGCCTGCCTCAGCCTCAGCCTCAGCCTGCTTCAGCCTCAGCCTCAGTCTGCCTTCAGCCTCGGCCTCAGCCTCAGCCTGCCTCAGCCTCAGCCTGCATCAGCCTCAGCCTCAGCCTCAGCCTGCCTCAGCATCAGCCTGCCTCAGCCTCAGCCTCAGCCTGCCTCAGCCTCAGCCTCAGCCTGCTTCAGCCTCAGCCTCAGTCTGCCTTCAGCCTCGGCCTCAGCCTCAGCCTGCCTCAGCCTCAGCCTGCATCAGCCTCAGCCTCAGCCTCAGCCTGCCTCAGCATCAGCCTGCCTCAGCCTCAGCCTCAGCCTGCCTCAGCCTCAGCCTCAGCCTGCCTTCAGCATCAGCCTCAGTCTGCCTTCAGCCTCGGCCTCAGCCTCAGCCTGCCTCAGCCTCAGCCTGCATCAGCCTCAGCCTCAGCCTCAGCCTCAGCCTCAGCCTGCCTCAGCCTCAGCCTCAGCCTGCCTCAGCCTCAGCATCAGCCTGCCTCAGCCTGCCTCAGCCTCAGCCTGCCAGCCTCAGCCTGCATCAGCCTCAGCCTCAAGCCTGCCTCAGCACTCAGCCTCAGCCTCAGCCTGCCTCGGCCTCGCTTCAGCCTCAGCATCAGTCTGCTCAGCCTTCAGCGCTCAGCAGCATCAGCCTAGCCTCCTCAGCCTGCCATCAGCCTCCTGCCTCAGCCTCAGCCTCAGCCTCAGCCTCAGCCTCAGCCTGCCTCAGCCTCAGCCTCAGCCTGCTTCAGCCTCAGCCTCAGTCTGCCTTCAGCCTCGGCCTCAGCCTCACCTCAGCCTCAGCCTGCCTCAGCCTCAGCCTCAGCCTCAGCCTGGCTCAGCATCAGCCTGCCTCAGCCTCAGCCTCAGCCTGCCTCAGCCTCAGCCTCAGCCTCAGCCTGCTTCAGCCTCAGCCTCAGTCTGCCTTCAGCCTCGGCCTCAGCCTCAGCCTGCCTCAGCCTCAGCCTGCATCAGCCTCAGCCTCAGCCTCAGCCTGCCTCAGCATCAGCCTGCCTCAGCCTCAGCCTCAGCCTGCCTCAGCCTCAGCCTCAGCCTGCTTCAGCCATCAGCCTCAGTCTGCCTTCAGCCTTGGCCTCAGCCTCAGCCTGCCTCAGCCTCAGCCTGCATCAGCCTCAGCCTCAGCCTCAGCCTGCCTCAGCCTCAGCCTGCATCAGCCTCAGCCTCAGCCTCAGCCTGCCTCAGCATCAGCCTGCCTCAGCCTCAGCCTCAGCCTGCCTCAGCCTCAGCCTCAGCCTGCTTCAGCCTCAGCCTCAGTCTGCCTTCAGCCTCGGCCTCCGCCTCAGCCTGCCTCAGCCTCAGCCTGCATCAGCCTCAGCCTCAGCCTCAGCCTGCCTCAGCATCAGCCTGCCTCAGCCATCAGCCTGCCTCAGCCTCAACCTCAGCCTGCCTCAGCCTGCCTCAGCCTCAGCCTCAGCTGCCTCAGCCTCAGCCTCAGGCCTTCAGCCTCGCTCAGCCTCAGCCTGCATCATCAGCTCAGCCTCAGCCGCCTGCCTCAGGCCTCAGCTCAGCCATGCTCTCAGCCTTAGCCTCATCTGCCTTCAGCCTCGGCCTCAGCCTCAGCCTGCCTCAGCCTCAGCCTGCATCAGCCTCAGCATCAGCCTGCCTCAGCATTCAAAATGTGGCCCGGGAATGGAGTTCTGGGAACTCGAAGAACACGAAGTGGCCTACAGTTGGCTCCGGGCATTCAAAATCATGCCCAGGAATGGAGTTCTGGGAACTCGAAGACCACGAAGTGGCCTACAGTTGGCCCCGGGCATTCAAAATCATGCCCAGGAGTGGAGTTCTGGGAACTCGAAGAACACGAAGTGGCCTACACGTGGCTCCGGGCGTTCAAAATCATGCCCAAGAATGGAATTCTGGGAACTCGAAGACCACGAATTACTGTTGGCTAAAAAAGGAGTCCCCGGTTTTCCCCAGCACCTGTCCGGCATCTGCCCAGACCCCCCTGGGGAGTCATGATGCTCTCTTTCGAGCCCACTAGAAACCTATCAGTCTTCGCTGTTAGGTAAATAGTCAATTATCCCGGCAAAGCAACCTAACAGCGATGTGTATAAGCATATCTGGAATTATTCCCCTTAAGATTCAGGTGAGAATCCAGCTGTAGAATTCTGCTGTTCTCGCAGTCGCAGTCGCAATGACAGTCGCAGTGGCAACGGCCTTAGGACCCAATGGAATCCTAAGGATTCCTAGGGATTCCTAAGGCATTCTTAGGCATCCTTAGGAATCCATAGGAATCCTTAGGAAACCTTAGGAATCCTTAGGAATCCAGATTCCTAGGGATTCCTAAGGATCCCTGAAGAATCCCATGGATTCCTAAGGATTCCTGAGGATGCTTAACTATGCCTACGAATTCCTAAGGATGCCTGCGGATTCCTAAGGATTCCTAGGGATTCCTACGGATTCCGATGGATTCCTACGGATGCCTCAACCTGCCTCAGTTTCAGCCTCAGCCTCAGCCTGCCTCAGCCTCAGCCTGCCTCAGCCTCAGCCACAGCCTCAGCCTCAGACTGCCTCGGCTTGCCTCAGCCTCAGCCTCAGCCTGCCTCGGCCTCAGCCTGCCTCGGCCTCAGCCTGCCTCAGCCTCCCCTCCTCCCCCCCCCTCCCCCCCCCATTCAGCCTCACCTTGTCTCAGCTTCGGCCTGCCCCGGCCTCATCCTCAGCCTCAGCCTCAGTCTCAGCCTGTCTCGGCCTGAGCCTAACTCGGCCTCAGCCTCAGCCTGCCTCAGCCTCAGCCTGCCTCAGCCTCAGCCTCAGCTTGTCTCAGCCTCAGTCTGCCTCACCATCAGCCTCAGCCTCAGCCTCAGCCTGCCTCGGCCTCAGCCTCAGCCTGCCTCGGCTTCAGCATCAGCCTCAGCCTGCCTCAGCCTCAGCCTCAGCCTGCCTCAGCCTCAGCCTGCATCAGCCTCAGCCTCAGCCTGCCTCAGCCGCAGCTTGCCTCAGCCTCAGCCTCAGCTACAGCCTCAGCCACAGCCACAGCCTCAGCCTGCCTCAGCTTCAGCCTCAGCCTCAGCCTGCCTCGGCTTGCCTCAGCCTCAGCCTCCGCCTGCCGCGGCCTCAGCCTCAGCCTCAGCCTGCCTCAGCCTCAGCGTCAGCCTCTCAGCCTCAGCCTGCATCAGCCTCAGCCTCAGCCTCAGCCTGCCTCAGCCTCAGCCTCAGCCTGCCTCAGCCTCAGCCTGCCTCAGCCTCAGCCTCAGCCTGCCTCGGCCTCAGCCTGCCTCAGCCTCAGCCTCAGCCTGCCTCAGCCTCAGCCTGCCTCAGCCTCAGCCTCAGCCTGCTTCGGCGTGCCTCGGCCTCAGCCTCAGCCTGCCTCGGCCTCAGCCTGCCTCAGCTCGGGCATTCAAAATGTGGCACAGGACTTGTGTTCTGGGATCACGAAGATCACGAAGTGGCGTACGGTTGGCCCCGGGCATTCAAAATGTGTCCTGGGAATGGTGTTCTGGGAACACGAAGAACACGACGAAATGGCCTACAGTTGGCTCCGGGCAATCAAAATATGCCCTGGGAATGGTGTTCTGGGAACACGAAGAACACGACGAAATGGCCTACAGTTGGCTCCGGGCAATCAAAATGTGGCCTGGGAATAATGTTCTGTTGGCTCCAGGCAGTCACAATGTAGCTCCTGGCAGTAAAAATGGTGAGTCCCCGGTTTTCCGGGGCACCCGTCCGGATCCCGCCCAGACCCCCCTGGGGAGTCATGATGCTCTCTTTTGAGCCCACTAGAAACCTATCAGACTTCGCTGTTAGGTAAAAAGTATTTCCCGGACTTCCTTGCCCCGTGCGACAGAGGAGGGAGGAGGAAGGAGGCCCTCCGATCAGTCCTGCCCGCCGCGGTCCCAACATCCCAGCCCAAGGGCGCCGCCGGAAGCGGCGCCAAGGTGTTGAGACCGCCGCGGCCTACTCGGGGGGCCTGTTGAGGCTCACTGGGACTACCCGGGGGAGGCCAGCCCAGGGCTGCCTGGGCGGGCCGTCCGTGTGCAAAGAGAAGCCTTACCAACCCCGAGCCTCTCTCCTCGGGGCAGCCCCCCCCCGTCCCTGGGCGTCCCCCGCACTCAGTCCCCCCCTGAGCATCGCTTAACCGATCCCCATCCCCAACGGCGTGGCCTGGGCCCCACTGGCCGATTTACACCCCTAGATGTGGATACAGGCCGTTCCCTTCGGGTCCCGAGGGGTATATCCCCAACTGGGGGGTAATTCGGTGGGGGGCTCTAAGGGGATGAGGATGGGGATGGGGGTCGGTTAAACGATACTGACCCCCCCCCGATCCCGAGGCCTTGCGGCGGCGGACGAGGATGGCACGGCAGTCGCCCACGTTAGCGATGAAGAGCTTTGCGCGCGGGGGGCCGGCAAGACGACGCCAAGACCGGGGAAAAATCGGACCGTGACAAGTCTTGGTGGCGCGCACAAGGGGAAGGAGGGGGGAAGGCTTCTTAGAAGGAGGTTAGAAGGCGCCGGCCTTACATCTATAGATAAGACCCGCGCCTCTTAAGAAGCTGGGGTGCCTCTAAGAAGCCCTCCCCCCTCCCCCCAACCCCCTCTGCGCGTGGCTGGAAGTCGGGGATCTCTGAGATCTGGCGGGTCCCCGAGATCCAAGCGCTGCATATTTTTTGTCACGCCGGGCGTGTTCCCCCGATCCCTGGGGTCCCTGGACTCTCACAGATCGATGCGGCTCGAGAAACGCAGCAGAGAGATGGGACCTAGGGCTCCTGTCGCGATTTCTCACGCGATGTTGCATGTTTCGTGACGTCGGATCTCGACATATGAGATCTGGCGGTTTTGGAAGGTGTGTTTCTTGAGATCGGCGTGTCGCTTTTTCAATACGGGGTCCCCAGAAATCCAGACCCTCCCTCCAAGGCCAATTTTGCGGCCGAATTGTTTTGTTGAGGATCCCGGGGCCGCGCGAAGGTCCCCAGCTGTCAGGGGACAATTTCTTCATTCGATTTTCGTTTGGCCGTCCGCCAAATGCGCGGAACGCATGGGACGGTTGGCGACCCGCTATTCTGGCCCGAATCCACAGTTTTCTAGCCGATCATGCTAGGCGACGACGAGAGCAATGCTGGCGAGCCGCCCCCCCGAAGATTCTAAAGCTCCGTGTGGGTGGGGAACCGCGGGCTCCTGAAAAAGGCAGCGAACTCCCCACCTTTAACTTACCTGGGGTATGGCCACGAACGTCGTTTTCCGCTTGCGAGTTCAAAAACATTCCGTTGCCAGAACGGATTCCGGCGGTTCCCTGCAAACTTCCAGCGGTTCCAATGGTTTACGTTCAAATTCCCTTGCGTTTCTGGGTCCACCGACCGCTAACACAATGGGTTCACTTGAGACATCCTCGCCCTCCTTCTGGCATCACATTAAAATGTCGGTTGTTTCTTAGCTCAAAAACAAAAGACCCGTGATGGTTGCGCTGAGTTCCTGGAGAAGCTCGCATGGCCGGGATGGTTTCGCGACAAGCAGCTTCTCGACAAGGAAAAACATATTCACGATAAGCAAACCCACGTTCGCCACCCACTTTCGCCGCCCACTTTCGCCGCCCTCTTTCGCCGCCCACTTTCGCCGCACACTTTCGCCACCCACTTTCGCGAGCGAAAGTGGGCGGCGAAAGTGGGCGGCGAAAGTGGGCGGCGAAAGTGGGCGCCCAAAGTGGGCGCCCAAAGTGGGCGGCGAAAGTGGGCGGCGAAAGTGGGCGGCGAAAGTGGGCGGCGAAAGTGGGCGGCGAAAGTGGGCGGCGAAAGTGGGCGGGGCGAAAAGTGGGGCGAAAGTGGGCGGCGAAAGGGGGGCAGGCGAAAGGGGCGAGCGAAATGGGTGGATGGCGGAAATGGGCGGCGAAAGTGGGCGGCGAAAGTGGGCGGCGAAAGTGGGCGGCGAAAGTGGGCGGCGAAAGTGGGCGGCGAAAGTGGGCGGCGAAAGTGGGCGGCGAAAGTGGGCGCGAAAGTAGGCGCGAAAGTGGGCGGCGAAAGTGGGCGCCGAAAGTGGGCGCCGAAAGTGGGCGGCGAAAAAGGGCGGCGAAAGAGGGCGGCGAAAGTGGGCGGCGAAAGTGGGTGGCGAAAGTGGGCGGCGAAAGTGGGCGCCGAAAGTGGGCGGCGAAAGTGGGCGGCGAAAGTGGGCGGCGAATGTGGGCGGCGAAAGTGGGCGGCGAAAGTGGGCGGCGAAAGTGGGCGGCGAAAAGTGGGCGGAGAAAGTGGGCGGCGAAAGTGGGCAGCGAAAAGTGGGCGGCGAAAGTGGGTGGCGAAAGTAGGCGGCGAGGCGCAAGTGGGCGGAGAAAGGGTGGCAGCGAAAGTGGGGTGGCGAAAGTGGCCAGTGGGTTGGCGAAAGGAGGAGGGCGGCGAAAGTAGGCGGCGAAAGTGGGCGGAGTAACGTGGGCGGGAACGTGGGCGGCGAAAAGTGGGCGGCTGAAAGGGCGGCGAAAGGGGGGCGGCGAAGTGGCGGCGAAAGGGTCGGCAAAACGTGGGCGTGTGAGGTTCGCGACAAGCAGCTTCTCGACACGGAAAAACATATTCCCGATAAGCCAAACCATCGTCGCCACCCACTTCGCCGCCACCTTCTCCATTCGCGCCTCTTTCGCCGCCTACTCGCCGCCATCTTTCGCGGCCCCATTTCGCCGCACACTTTCCGCCACCCACTTTCGCGAGCGAAAGTGGGCGGCGAAAGTGGGCGGCGAAAGTGGGCGGCGAAAGTGGGTGGCGAAAGTGGGTGGCGAAAGTGGGCGGCAAAAGTGGGCAGCGAAAGTGGGTGGCGAAAGTGGGTGGCGAAAGTGGGCGGCCAAAGTGGGCGGCGAACGTGGGCGGCGAAAGTGGGCGGCGAAAGTGGGCGGCGAAAGTGGGCGGCGAAAGTGGGCGGCGAAAGTGGGCGGCGAAAGTGGGCGGCGAAAGCGGGCGGCAAAAGCGGGCGACGAACGTGGGTGGCGAAAGTGCGCGGCGAAAGTGGGCGGCGAAAGTGGGCGGCGAAAGTGGGCGGCGAACGCGGGCGGCGAAAGTGGGCGGCGAAAGTGGGCGGCGAAAGTGGGCGGCGAAAGTGGGCAGCGAAAGTGGGCGGCGAAAGTGGGCGGCGAAAGTGGGCGGCGAAAGTGGGCGGCGAAAGTGGGCGGCGAAAGTGAGGCGGCGAACGGCGGCGAACGGTGGCGGAGAAAATGGGCGGCGAAAGTGGGCGGCGAAAGGGGCGGCGAAAGTGGGCGGCGAAAAGTGGGCGCGAAAGTGGGCGGCGGAAAAGTGGGCGGCGAAAGTGGACGGGAAAAGTGGGCGGCGAACGAAAGTGGCGGAGAAAAAGTGGCGGCGAAAGTGGAGCAGCGAAAGGGGCTGCGAAAAAGTGGGGTGGCGGAAGGGGCGGCGCAACAGTGGGCGGCGAACGTGGGCAGCGAAAGTGGGGGTGGCGAAAGTGGGGTGGCGAAAAAGTAGGCGGCGAAAGTAGGCGGGCGAAAGTGGGCGGCGAAACGTGGGCCGGCGAAAGTAAGGGCGGCGAAAGTCGGGCGGCGAAGTGGCGGCGGATAAGTGGCGGCCGAAAGTGGGCGGCGAAGAGGGGCGCCCCCCCCTGAAAAATGGGCGGGCAAAGTGGCGCGAAAGTGGCGGCCGGAAAGTGGGCGGCGAAAGTGGGCGGCGAAAAAGGGCGGCGAACGTCAGCGGAGAACGTGGGCGGCGAAGTGGGCGCGAAAGTGCGGCGAAAGTGGGTGGCGAAATGGTGGCGAAAGGGGACGCGAAATGAGCGCCGAAATGGGGGGAACGTGAGCGGCGAAAGTTGGCAGCGAAAGTGGGCGGCGAAAGTGGGCGGCGAAAGTGGGCGGCGAAGGTGGGCGGCGAAAGTGGGCGGCGAAGGCGGGCGGCGAAAGTTGGCGGCGAAAGTTGGCGGCGAAAGTGGGCGGCGAAAGTGGGCGGCGAAGGTGGGCGCCGAAAGTGGACGGCGAAAGCGGGCGCCGAAAGTGGGCGGCGAAAGTGGGCGGCCAAAGTGGGCGGCGAAAGTGGGCGGCCAAAGTGGGCGGCGAAAGTGGGCGCCGAAGGTGGGCGCCGAAAGTGGCGAAGAAAGTGGGCGGCGAAAGGTGGGCGGGTACCGGGGCTGGCGAAATGGGCGGGGAAAGTGGGCGGCGAGGGGGGCGAGCGAAAGCTGGGGGCGAAAGTGGGTCGCGAAAATCGTGGGTGCAGCGAAAGGTGCGGCCAAAGTGGCAGCGAAGTGGTGCGAAAGTGGGTGGCGAAAGGTGTGCGCCAAACGTGGGCGGCGAACGTGGGCGGCGAAAGTGGGGGCTAAGTGGCGGCGAAAGTGGGCGGCGAAAGGGGCGGCGAAAGTGGGCGGCGAAAGTGGGCTGCGAAAGTGGGCGGCGAGAGTGGGCGGCGAGAGTGGGCGGCAAAAGTGGGCGGCGAAAGTGGGCGAAAGTGGGCGGCGAAAGTGGGCGGCGAAAGTTGGCGGCGAACGTGGGCGGCGAAAATGGGCGGCGAAAGTGGGCGGCGAAAGTGGGCGGCGAAAGTGGGCGGCGAAAGTGGGCTGCGAAAGTGGGCGGCGAAAGTGGGCGGCAAAAGTGGGCTGCGAAAGTGGGCGGCGAGAGTGGGCGGCGAGAGTGGGCGGCGAAAGTGGGCGGCGAAAGTGGGCGAAAGTGGGCGGCGAACGTGGGCGGCGAAAGTGGGCGGCGAAAGTGGGCGGCGAACGTGGGCGGCGAAAGTGGGCGGCGAAAGTGGGCGGCGAAAGTAGGTGGAGAAGTTGCTTGTTGCTTGTCGTGAATAAGCCGTGCCTTGTCGTGTTTCGGTTTTCTCTTGTCGTGTTTCAGTTTTCCCAGTTGTGAGAACACCCGAGCTTTGAAGCTCGCCGCCACATGGCTAAAGCAATGGGTGTTGACAACAAACGCACAGAAATTGCTCTGCCTGATACAACCAGGGGAGGGTTTCTTCTTCCGATGTTCGTTCTGCCGTCCGTCAAACGCGCGAACTCATGGGCGGGCGGCGAGCCGCATAATTCTGGCCCCAGTTGGCAACTTTCCTCTTCGAAAGTGCTCGACGACGACGACGAACACCGCGGCGATGGCGATCACGGCGACGAGGAGATGGAAGGCGACGGCGAAAGTGGAGGCATAAATGGGGGCGGCGCTGGCAATACTGGCGATCATGTATGACGAAGCCGATGGCGGCGATGGCGATGACGGCGGCCAACAGGAGACGGCGGTCGACGACGACGACGGCGGGGCGACGCGGGAGAGCCATCCCTGCTAAAACTCAAACTGTAGTGCAGGTTTCGCTTGGGATGTTGTGAGGCAGCCATCGATGTCGGGAGCGGTGTCTGGCCGTTTCCTACAGGCTTCTGGAAGTTTTTTATGCGGTGTCCGTCCAATCTCGCTTGCGTTCCTGCTTGCACTGGCCGCGAACGCTGCGGCTTCGCTCGAGACATTCTCACCCGAGTGCCGATACCAGCTCATGTCTCGGCTGGTTTCTGGCTAAGTTCCCGAGCCCCCCCGCAGTTCTGATCGGCTCCTGTCGCGTATCTTCGCGGACCTTCAAGGTCCGCGAAGATACGCAATTCAAAAACAAATACCTTCCCGTTGCAATGCGTCAAACATATTCACACTTGCGTCGGGCGTCCTCGCAGAGATCAGAACCCGTGACTGCTACGCCGAGTTCCTGGAGGGGCTCGCCGCCGCACGGCACACACAGCACATGTTCACAACAAAGCGCGCAGGAACAATCGAACGATGAGCCCCCCCCCCTGTCTGAGATTGGCGGCGCGCACAAGGGGGGTGGAGGGAGGGGGGAAGACTTCTTAGAAAGAGGATGCTTCTTAGAAGGCGCCGGCCTTACATCTACAGATAAGGCCCGCGCCTTCTAAGAAGCAGGGGTGCCTCTAAGAAGCCCTCCCCCCTCCCCCCACCCCCCTCCGCGCGCGGCTGATGGAAGTCTGGGTCGGGCACCGCGGCCGTTCCAGAGCGATCTGGAACGCGCTCTGACAGCCTTCTGGAGCGCTCTATCCTGGCCCTGGCCTAACCCGAGGCTTGAGCAGGGACCGACTGCCCCCAACGACACGGTCTTATGAAATTCAAATGATATAAGCAGCGTTCTTCGAACGCGATGCCGAACCAACAAGAGAAGAGCAGACCCGGCCCAACACGCTCTGGGAACATCACGCGCAGACCGCCGACGGGCCCAGGACATCCTTTTGATGGGCCCGTGGGCCCGCGCTGGGCCCCGCCACCGCTGGAGAGGCGGGGGCGCGCCGACCCGGGCCCGCGCGGGCACGGGCCGGCCGGAGGGGCCGCGTCTCGAGCACCGGGCGGGCACGACGCCGCCCCCACCCCCGGGCCCGGGGTCGGCGGTGAGGCCGTCCGGACGGAGGGGGGCGGGCGAGCGCCAAGGCCCGGGCGAGGCGACACCCACGGCACCAGAGTCCCGCGCCCCAGCCGTCCGCCCGCGTGGCAGCGCGGGCCACCGCAGCTCGGCCGAGAGGGGACCACCGCAGAGTCCCCCCCGGAGACCTCGGCGGACGCACCGCAGACAGGTCGGCGACGGGCCCCCGATGGCGAAGCCGCACGCTCCCGGGCAGCGGTAGGCCGTTTGGCCCCCGTCGGCGAGGACTGGGCGGTTGGAGTTCGATGCGTGCCCTGCTGAGCTCCCACGCCTCCTCAGCTCCTCCGCCCCCCGTCTCTGTTCGGCTGCTCCTTTCCTCACAGACGACTCTTTCCTGTCGCACCACTGGGCTTGTGTGTAGGCCGGTCCAGCCGTTTCGCCTGAGACTTCCTCGCCAATTATGGCCTGAAGAATGTCCGTGAAAGAAACTTGGGCCTACCACGAGAACCCAAAATGTTCTGCCAAGAACAAAAGCGATGTTCATAAACCCGATGTGTTAAAATAAGGCAGACTTTGCCGGAAATGTTCTAAAGAACAATTCGTGCAAACCACAAAAGGTTCTTAGAGCATTTTTTGGTGGGCCTATAGGCGAGCCAGGACGCCTCGCCACTGCTTGAGAAACGGATCCAAAGAGAACTGGGCCATGGACCCTGTGGCGGTCCCCCGGACCGGCTTTTCATCCTGAGGTCGTCTCCCCCCCCCATCCTGTGGTGCTGGGCCCTCGTTCTGAGCCAGCAGCGCCAAGCGTCTCCTTCCCTCCACTCCCCCCCTCCTCCCTTCGGCGGCGAGCCCAGGGGGGAAGTGAGAAGGGGCGGGCCTTCTCAGAAGGCTCTGAAGTCCCCCGGCCTTCTGAGAGGTCAGCGCATACAAGTGGTCATGGGAGTAAAAGATGTGCGGAACGAGAAAAATGAAGATGTGAGCGAAAAGCATGCCCTCGTGCGCGCGGTCTGCCCACCTGAGGGCGACAGGCTTCGCTCTAAGCCCGCTCGGGACCGAAGCTCTCCTCCTCCTCCTCCTCCTCCTCCTCCTCCTCCTCCTCGCCTTCCTCCTCCTCCTCCTCCTCCCCCCCCTCCTCCTCCTCCTCCTCCTCCTCCTCCTCCTCCTCCCTCCTCCTCTCCTCCTCATCCTCCTCCTCCTCCTCCTCTCCTCCTCCTCCCTCCTCCCTCCTCCTCCTCTCCTCCTCCCCCTCCTCCCCTCCTCCCCCTCCTCCCCCCCCCTCCCCCCCCCTCCCCCCCTACCCCTCCCCCTCCTCCTCCTCCCCCTCCCCCTCCTCCCCCTCTCCCCTCCCCCTCCCCCTCCCCTCCCCCTTCCCCTCCTCATCTTCTGGGGGGGGCCCAACGCCCCCAGGGCGCGGCACGCCCCTCCGCCACCCCCTCGGCGGCAGAGGCGGGCCTTGGCGACGCCCCCTCGGCAGCCGGGCACCTCGCCGTCGGCGGGGGGATCGAGAGGGGAGGAGAGGAGGGGGGGGAGGAGGAGGGGAGGGGGGGGAGGAGGAGGGGAGGAGAGGAGGAGGGGAGACGGGAGGAGGAGAGGAGAGGAGGAGAAGAGGGGAGGAGGGGAGAGGGGAGGAGAGGAGGGTAGGAGGAGAGGACAGGAGGGCAACGGCAGGACCTTCAGATCCTGACACGGCAACTTCTTCACAACGGGCGTCTTCGCCCGGCTTCGGGCACCAGGACCCTCACAGATCGATCCGGCTCGAAAAACGGCGCAGAGAGATGGGGGCCGGGGGGCCGGGGCTCCGCCTCTGAATTCTTACGATGTGTCATGCTCTTCGCGCCCCCTTCGCTACCACGCTGGAGCGGATTGCCCCGCCTCGCCGCCGACGGAGAAAATGTTCTTCGCGCCCCCGGATCTCAGGAGAGGAGGAGGGGCGATGGCGGGGGGCAGGGGTGGAGGAGGGAGAGGGAAGGATCGACGGGAGGAAGTGGAGGGTGACGGGACGACGAGGGGGAAGGAGGAAGGGAGGAAGGGAGGAAGCGACGAGAGGATGAGTGAGGGAAGAAAGAAGGGAGGAAACAACGCAAGAGCTGCGGATGGATGAGGAGCGGGACAAAGGAGGATGGATGGGAAGTAGGAGGAGGAGGAGGAGGAGGAGGAGGGAAGGCAGAGGCAGAGGTGGAAGGAAGAGGTGGACGCCCAGGAATTCCCTGGAAAGACGGAGCCCGACGAACAGGACACCCCTACCGGGATGTCGTTCTGTGCCAGGAAACGTTGGCATTCCAGGCTTTCGAGACAATGGCAGGCCCATAGTGACCAATATGGAGTGCGGAGTGTGCTCCTGGCTTTCAAGAAGCATTTTTTTTCGAGAGTCTTGCCCCACGGAGGGAAGTGTGTACGTATGTTCTGTCTGGATCAAGCGTCTAGCGCGATCATAATACTGCAGGGTCGCAATCTGCTCATGTTCAAGGCCTGGGATGGGGCGGGGACTCTGGTTGGGGGGAGTCGGCGCGTGATTTCATACATCAGGTGCGGGGGGCTATGCGTGGGTGGGGGTTGACTCGCTATGCAGACCCTGCCCTACGATGCCCCCGACCGAGGATTTGAAAAGGCAAAGGACTCGTCCTCTCACAGATTTTCCCCTCTCCCCAGCTAGGCCAAGCAGCATGCAGGGTGGAGAGTGGAGAGTGTCTGACCCCAAGGCTCCTGCTCCTGCTGACCCTTTCTGCCTCATAAAAATGACGAGAAGGGGGTCTTGGTCCATGGGGATGGGCGCCCAATGTCTGAAGCCAATCTTTGTGATCCGACCTGAGGAGAAAGATGGGACTTGCCACAAGTGTCCTCCAGGTTCGGAAGGATCCAGCCCGCTGGTGCAGATACGCCCCGAAAAGGTTCGACGCTCTACCCGTGGTTAGTTTGGTCGGGGCGCCTGGCATCGACTGGCGTTGTCACATCATATTTCGTGCATCTATAGATCGCGAACTATGTGTATTATATATGTCTACATATATGCGTATATGCGCACTTGCCTATAAACGCGTATTCACACATACTTACATATATCATTATGTATGCTGATACACACATATATATTTATGTGTGTACACACATATGCTTTTGTACATACATACATACACACGTTTATATATACAAGGATGTATATCGTTAAACACACACTATGCATGTATATTTCGATAGATATGTATATATTTGTATGCATCGGTGTGTATACATATGTATACGTATACAGATACGCATGCATAGTTGTATAAAAATACATATTGCGATGCATTCACCTAATTCGAAGGCTGAATAAATATACATATATACACATATATGTGGATGTATACATATCGATTGTATATACAAAGACAGACAGAAACAGACACAGACAGACAGACGACAGACAGACAGACAAACAGACTGACAGACAGACAGACAGACAGACCGACAGACTGACATACAGACAGACAGACAGACATACAGCCACACACAAACATATATATATATGTATATATATATACACATACAAAAAACGGCCACAACGATGGTTAAAACGCATTGGCGTTTAGAACGAAAAACGCGTTTAACCCGACCGTTGTACAACGACCGTTTCAAACGAAACCGGCCCACACGATAACGAAACACGAAACGAACTCATCGATCGTAAAGACAAGAAGCAAACAAACGAAACGGAATTCGCAGACCGCGCTAAAAACAAAACGAGAAACGAAACGACGCATTGGGCGACGGCTGGGGCCAGGGCGATGTTCTGGCTGGGGTTTGAACCAATTAAAAGGCAAAGCGACGCAAACGAAAAAACAACGAACAACAAACCAAGGCTGCAGCGAGGGGCGAGGTCCCATTTGAGGCGCGCTCGAAGACAAACGAAAAACGAAACGAACAAGCAACTCCGGCTGCGACGACGGCTAAGGCTTGGGGTTCATAAGCAAAACAAAACGAAAAACTAATAACTAACTCGGCCTGCGGCTACGGCTGAAGGCTGGGTTAAGGCCGCTTCGGCATGCGCAAAACAAAACGAAAAACGCAACGAAAAACGAACAACGCGAACAAATGGAACGACTGCCGAGGCCAGGGCGAGATTAAGGCTGAGGCTTTAACCAGACGAACGGGCCAAACAATACAAACGGAACAAACACAACATGAAAAACGAACCAGGACAGCAGCAGTGGCATCAGGGCTGAGGCTAGGGCGAGTGGCGAAATCTCGGCCTGCGGCTACGGCTGAAGGCTGGGTTAAGGCCGCTTCGGCATGCGCAAAACAAAACGAAAAACGCAACGAAAAACGAACAACGCGAACAAATGGAACGACTGCCGAGGCCAGGGCGAGATTAAGGCTGAGGCTTTAACCAGACGAACGGGCCAAACAATACAAACGGAACAAACACAACATGAAAAACGAACCAGGACAGCAGCAGTGGCATCAGGGCTGAGGCTAGGGCGAGTGGCGAAATCTCGGCCTGCGGCTACGGCTGAAGGCTGGGTTAAGGCCGCCTCGGCATGCGCAAAACAAAACGAAAAACGCAACGAAAAACGAACAACGCGAACAAATGGAACGACTGCCGAGGCCAGGGCGAGATTAAGGCTGAGGCTTTAACCAGACGAACGGGCCAAACAATACAAACGGAACAAACACAACATGAAAAACGAACCAGGACAGCAGCAGTGGCATCAGGGCTGAGGCTAGGGCGAGTGGCGAAATCTCGGCCTGCGGCTACGGCTGAAGGCTGGGTTAAGGCCGCTTCGGCATGCGCAAAACAAAACGAAAAACGCAACGAAAAACGAACAACGCGAACAAATGGAACGACTGCCGAGGCCAGGGCGAGATTAAGGCTGAGGCTTTAACCAGACGAACGGGCCAAACAATACAAACGGAACAAACACAACATGAAAAACGAACCAGGACAGCAGCAGTGGCATCAGGGCTGAGGCTAGGGCGAGTGGCGAAATCTCGGCCTGCGGCTACGGCTGAAGGCTGGGTTGAGACCACTTGGGGCATGCGCGTAACAAAACGAAAAACATAACGAAAAACGAACAACGCGAAAATATGGAACGACGGCCGAGACGAGGGCGAGATTAGGGCTGAGGCTTTCACCAGACGAACGGGCCAAACAATACAAACGAAAAACAAAACGAAAAACGAACCAGGACAGCAGCAGTGGCATCAGGGCTGAGGCTAGGGCGAGTGGCGAAATCTCGGCCTGCGGCTACGGCTGAAGGCTGGGTTGAGACCACTTGGGGCATGCGCGTAACAAAACGAAAAACCTAACGAAAAACGAACAACGCGAAAACATGGAACGACGGCCGAGACGAGGGCGAGATTAGGGCTGAGGCTTTCACCAGACGAACGGGCCAAACAATACAAACGAAAAACAAAACGAAAAACGAACCAGGGCAGCAGCGATGGCATCAAGACTGCTAAGGCGAGTGGCGAGGTCCCGTTTGATGCGCGCGCGAGGACACAGGAAAAAGGAAGCGAAACACGAGCCCTGGTTGCGGCGACGGCTATGGCCTGGGGAACACAGGGCATGTCGAGGTTGCGGGGGGGACAACACACAGCGAAACGCACAACGAACAACGCAACCCCGGGCTGCGGCGACGGCTAGGGCCCGGGGAGCCCAGGGAGTGTTGAGTCCCACCAGCCCTTTAGGGCGTAGGTGGTCTAGAACGTTTCCTCTGCCACCCCCCTTCTTTCCCTTCGGGGAGGGGTTTACCCCTCTCCTTACCCCTCTCCACCGACCTGGACGAAGGGTTCCGCGGGTCCTTTGGATGTCCAAGATGGCCCAAGACGGCTCCAAGAGCGAAAAAACGAAAAAGCACAAAACATTCATTTTCTGTAGGCTTGGGAAGGATTTTGGCCTCCTGGGAGGGCCCAAGAGGCGATTCGAGGCGCTCTAGAGAGGCAAGGCTAATATACCACACCCCTTCTTTGATAGATCTCCTCCAACATGGCCCCAAGAGCGCCCCGAAGGCTCCACGCTGGCTGAAAAGCAGCTGGATGCCTATGTCCAAACTGTTCAAATACGTTAACAAGTCGAGCGCGCCGCCGCCTTGAGCGGTGGCCGGCTTCACGCGCGGCCACACGGTCCGCCGACGCGTGTCAATTACGTGCAAAACATACGTGTTTCAGCGCTGCAGTATGCGACGGCACGTCGCAGGGTCTGCCGCCCGGCGTGGCAGCGGAGCGAGAGGGGGGGCGGGGAGAGGAGGGCTCTCCTCGCCGGCCGGACTCGTGCAGACGCGACCGCCAACACCACCGACGACACCACCGCGAGGGTGGGTCTTGGCGGGGGGCGGAGGGGGGTCGTCGAGGTGACCATGCCGTCGACGCTACGGTCGCCGCCTCCTCGTCTCGCGGGCCCCAGCCGCCGCCGCGCCACCCAGAACACGGTCGTCGAAGGGGCCGCCGTCGTCACGACCAGGGCCGCCGTCGCTGGGGAGGGAGTCGTCGTCGACGTCGTCGGT